CTCTCTCCAGCCGCGGACGCGTACTGCCTGCTGGACGTGTACTCCGCTCTGACGCGGGACCCCGCCAGGTTCGGGCTCCCCGCCGACTTCCACCGCGCGCCCCCGGAGAAGAAGAAATGGCGGGAGAGGCGCCGGCCGCCCGGGTCGCCGGAGGTCAGGGCCGTCGCCAGCGGAGGGGGGGGGTGGGAGGTTTTGTGTCGGGATGCAGCGCAGTGCCCCCATCTTCCCTCTCCCTGTCTCTCCAGGAGCCTCGGCGGCTGGCCCCCGCGGAAGCCCCGTCTCCCTGGCCCCCCGCTGCGGCCCCTGGCCCCCGGCCGCCCCAGCAGCTGCGCGTGGTCTGCGACAACATGCTGCAGGGCCTGGGGCGCTACCTGCGCTGCGTGGGCGTGGACGTGCACATGCTGGACAGCAGCGATGACCACCGCCTCGCGGCCGAGGTCAGCCGGGGGGGGTCAGCCTGCTCGCCCAGTCCCCGGCCTCCCACTGTCCCGGCGTTAGACCTGAGCAGCCTCTTCTCTTCCACAGATCGCCAGAACAGAGGGCCGCGTCATTCTCACCTCTGGGCTCCCCTTCCAGACAGTAAGTGGGTGCGGAGTGGGGGCGGAGGGGGGGGGGGGCTGGTGCACAGTACTGTGAAGTGGTAAAGCTGGTAGCGGGCTGATATGCGCAGTGAAATCAGGGTGAAAGCACAGTAATGTGTAGTAAGGTGCTAAAAGATCGTGGTATAAGCACTGTATAGTGCACTAAAGCCCAGTGAGAGCTCTGTGTGGACTCTGCGAGGTGATGGCCTGCCCTGTCCCAGGTACTGGTACTGAGCCCGCACCTGGTACTGACCCTAACCCTACCACTGGTGCTGCCCCTGCCCCTGCCCCTGCCCCTGGTACTGGTACTGGTACTGGTAGAGCCTGCCCCTGCCCCTGAAACTCTCCCTGGTACTGGTACTGGTACTGACCCTGCCACTGTCTTTGGTACTGGTACTGACCCGGCCCTGGTACTGCACCTGGTACTGGTACTGACCCTGCCCCTGTCTCTGGTACTGGTACTGACCCTGCCCCTGTCCCTGGTACTGGTACTTACCCGGCCCTGCCCCTGGGACTACCCCTGTCCCTGGTACTGGTACTGACCCTGCCCCTGTCCCTGGTACTACCCCTGTCCCTGGTACTGGTACTGACCCTGCCCCTGTCCCTGGTACTGGTACTTACCCGGCCCTGCCCCTGGTACTGCCCCTGCCCCTGTCCCTGGTACTGGTACTGACCCTGCTCCTGTCCCCCAGCTGAAGTCGCAGGTGGGCGAGGGGCGCTGTCTGGTGGTGGACTGCTCGGAGAAGGCCCGTGACCAGGCGGTCCGCGTCCTCAAGCACTTCAACGTCCAGGTCACCCAAGCTGCCA